TTGTTCTGCGAAGGGGAATTGGGGGTTTCGGCCCCAAGAGTCCACTTCAGACTTAAGAGGGTGTGGGAGAGGTTGTAAAACCCCCATATAAGGGTGTTTGGTGTTGGAGTATTATTGTTTTGGTACTAAGTGAGGAGAGTGGTTGAATGAATAAAGTATGAGTCTAATGGGTTTGTCACGATCCAAACCCACTCCTACAGGTTTAGTGTCATAACCGGCCAGTAATCCTCAGATTACCGAAGGCCTCTGACCTAATTAGCAAAATATAAGGGGCTAGTGGAAGCAAACAGAGAAACATACATAGTCCATTGAGCTATGTAAACATACACGGGATAGAAATTTGAAAACTTATAATATACATAGGTGTGACGTCATAAATACAGTAGTCTACGTCAGTTTCGTTATAGATAAAGAAAAAAGGGACTGAGCCCAATATACAAATAAACAAGAAACTTGTTTTGAATCCAAAAGTAAACAAAGCCTTTTACGTTCACAAAATAGGACCACAAGAAACTCAGAACCTCCTCGGGAGGCACAAAGCCTGGCTGACAAACCAAAACTCCATATTATCAATTCTGAGTCTGGTCACATGCCTGGTCGCCTACAAACATATATAATAGAGTGAGCTGGAGCCCAGTGAATAATAACAGAGTAAAGGTTTTAATGAATGATGTCCAGAACAGATTCCACACCTTTTACGATATTAGCTACAAAATCATATTCGTATCAGAAACAGAATCATAATCATATTCACATTCAAATCATGTGCAGTACATCCATTAGCATTAATATATTCCTATGGTCAAGCATATCAAGTTCCATAATGGAACCTCCGGTGCCAGGTAACATACCTCACACATGAGCCACAATATTATTCCCCCGGGCAAGGGCCTGGCCACGGTATTATTCCCCCGGGGGAGGGCCTCATGATCGTAAGCCACAACACTATTTCCCCTGGGTGAGGGCCTCTGCTAAGGATACCGCATAAACATGTCAAAGAAGTGGAGCGTCATTCATGTAATTATAACATATCCTTTTGTATTGTTAAAACAGTTCATGTCGTACCATAATGTTCAAAAAGTACTTTATAACGAACATAGCTTTACTAAGTTATTACTTACAATAATTGCACAGATAACTTTGGTAGTAACCAATAGATCAACAGCTCACAGCGCGTGACCTATGCAAACATAACAGATTCACAGATTAAAACACACACTTGGACAGTGCTTAACCTATTTCATTTCGTTCTTAGTGTGTTTCTATCCCTTAACCTCATTATTTTCTCTTAATCATGGCCTAGGAATGCCTAGGATGCAATGGGGATGCTAAAATGTACTTGAAAACACTTAAGCAAACATGCTGAAAATGGGGGCCCCGCTCGAACAAGCGTCCAAACATGTGAGAGGTCGCTCAAGCGCAACTTCCTTAGCTCAAGTGGTCTGTAAACTCAGTAAAAGTACTGGTTGTGTGAATTTTTAGCTCGACAGTCGCTCGAGTATGAGACTGAGGTCCTCGCTCGAGCGCAACTATTGTCGCTCAAGCAGTCTGCAAAACATGAAAACTTCTGGGAGCATGCATTTTATGCTCAAGCCAACTTTTGGTCGCTCGAGTTGGCTCGAGCAAGAGTGCTAAAGAAAGAGTGGTTGCTCAAGCGCAAGTTCTGTCGCTCGAGCAGAGTGCAGAATTTTGGAATTTCCATATTGCACTCCCAAGTTCAAAACTCAAAGTCAAAACTTTAAAATGCACCCTTTGGGCCTCAAAACTTGAGAAAACATGTCTAAACTTGTCCAACATCATGAAATCAAAACCATTTCGCCAAATCAAGGCCCAAAAGCCTGCCAATTTCTCAAAATTCAACTTGAAACTTAAGAATATGATGTGAACATGACATGCATGAATTGTCATGACTTTTAAGCTTTCAAATCATGATCTAACAAGGTTAAATGGAATGAAACTTCATGAATTTTTAAAACTAAGGTGAAATAATAACATGCATGAGGAAATTTCTTGGAAACAACTTCAAAATGCATGAAATGTACATGCATGCATGATTTAACTTAATTCCCTTAATTCTAGCTCAATTCTTGTAATTCATCTCCCAATTCCCATGAATGCTACTATTAGCTATTTCAATTACATAATTAAAAGGTTGAGTCCTTACCTTAGCTTCTCAATTGAATGTTAGATAGCTAATTGTTTAAGTTTCCAAGCCAAAACAAGTTCTTCTAATTTCCCACAATCCTCTAGTTGAATTCAAGTCTTCCTTTTCTCTCTCTTTCTCTCTCACATTTGATCTCAAAAGATGAGGGAATGAGAGTGTAAAGTGTATAGGAAGTGCTAGGGGTGGCCTTATATAGGCTTGATTAAGAAATGTAATCAATGACTAATTAAGTGACATTAATTATTCTAATTGAATTCATTCTGAATCATATTTTAATTAAACCTACCATAAAATTCTAAAAATTTCAACTTACACTAAATTCAAATCAATTTTGTGATCGGATGCCGATAAGGCCTTCAATTCACAGCACCAAACAGAAACAGAAACAGAAACAGATATTTCTATAGCAGACAGATATAAACACACATAATGCAATGCACATGTAATTAACTCAGGATTTCATCTTAATTACTTATTAGGCATACTTAATCATGGCTTAACAGTTAATCATGGGTCAGGATTGTTACAGTCTTCCCCCCTTAAAGAGTTTGGTCCTTCAAACTCGAGTTACCTTCATTTTGGAAGAACACCAGATCCAGCGGAAACAAGTCAACATATCTTTTCATCATATCTTCTTTAGTTTACCAAGTTGCATAGGTCCCTCCGTGGTTTTTCCAATCAACCTTTACTAGTGGGATTTCCTTGTTCCTCAGTCTTTTGATTTGACGGTTAACAATCTGTATTGGCCTCTCTTCATACATATTGTCATCTTTCAGAAGCATATGAGTTGGTTCAATCACAAGGAATGGATCTCTTAGATAGTCTCAAAGCATTGAGATATGAAAAACATTGTGCATATGTTCCATGACCGGCAGTAAGGCTACCCGATACGTCACCGAATTGATCTTCTTAAGAATTTCATATTGCCCATGTAACGCCCTCAAAAGCTTGCCTTTTACACCAAACCGTGTCTGGCCTTTCATTGGAGTCACTTTTATGAACACATGATCTCCAATCTCATATTCTCTGTCTCTTCTCCGGACATCTGTATAACTCTTTTGGCGACACTGTGCAGTTTTCAAACGTTGTTACCGGGGTCGCTATAGCCCAACATATCTCGGTGCTAGCTTGCCTTTTACACCAAACCGTGTCTGGCCTTTCATTGGAGTCACTTTTATGAACACATGATCTCCGATCTCATATTCACTGTCTCTTCTCTGGACATCTGTATAACTCTTTTGGCGACACTGTGCAATTTTCAAACGTTGTTGGATCAATTTCACCTTTTCAGTTGTTTCTTGCATAAGTTCGAGTACCAACAATGGTCTATCACCTACCTCAGCCCAGCAAATCGGAGATTGACACTTCTGACCGTATAGAGCTTCATAAGAAGCCATTCCAAGACTAGAATGATAGTTGTTGTTATACACAAACTCGGCCAGAGGAAGATAAGTCTCCTAATTCCCTTGGAAATCCAATACACACATCCATAACATATCTTCCAAAGTTTGATTGGTTCATTCAGATTGGCCGTCTGTCTGTGGGTGATAGGCACTACACAATCACAGTTCTGTTCCCAAAGCATGTTGCAAACTTTGCCAGAATCTTGACATGAACTTCGAATCTCTATTAGATACAATGGATACTGGCACACCATATAATCTCACAATCTCATTCATATAAATGTTAGCTAATTTATCAGCATTATAAAAAGTTTTCACAGGCAGAAAATGAGTAGACTTAGTCAAACAGTCAACAATGACCCAAATAGAATCCATACCTCAAGAGGAGTGAGGCAATCCGACAATGAAGTCCATCATGATATGCTCCTACTTCCATTCTGGTATTAGAAGCGACTAAAGTAATCCAGCAGGTCGTTGATGTTCAGCTTTTGCCTGTTGACAATGTTAGCATCTAGTCACAAAATCAGCAATGGCTTTCTTCATTCCCGACCACCAGAAATTTTGTTTCGAGTCATGGTACATTTTTGTATTCCCCAGATGCATAGCAAATTTTGAATTATGGCCTTCAGTTATAAAGCGTTTCCTCAAATTAGAACAATTCGGTACATAAAGTCTATTATGAAATTTCAGCACACCACTTTCAATCACAAATCCTAGCCTCGATTTTTAGTTAATTTCATCAATAACTCTCTTCAAAAACTCATCTTAAAGTTGTCACTACAAGAATTAACACTTTTGGCAACAAAAAAATTGGTCGCTAAAAGTCTATTTTTGGTCGGCAAAAGTTATCCGCGACCAAATTTTTTGGTCGCTATTTTGGTCACCAATTGAGGGTCGGCAAAAGTAATTCGCATGTTTTCCCGACCAAAAAGTTTGGTCGCCAATTATCACATTCAACGACCAAAAAGTTTGGTCGCTAATTGTGACATTCCGCGACCAAAAAGTTTGGTCGCCAATTATCACATTCAACGACCAAAAAGTTTGGTCGCTAATTGTGACATTCTGCGACCAAAAATTTTGGTCGCCAATCGTGACATTCCGCGACCAAAAAGTTTGGTCGCCAATTGTGACATTCCACGACCAAAAAAGGTTTTGGTTACCATTTGTTACTTTTCGCGACCAAAACTTTTGGTCGGCAAAAGTGAGTTTCCACGACCAAGAGCTATTTTGCTCGGCAATAGATGTATTTTTTGCGACCAAAACTCTTGGTCGGCAATTGTCATTTTTTGCGAAAAAAAATTATTTATTTGTCGCGACTAATAAATTGGTCGCCAAAGCAGGAAAACAATACACTTGTAATTCCTAATAATTTATTCAATCCATAATAAACCTATAATTTTAAAGCATCACTCAAATTAACTGAATCATTAACATTCGACACAATACATAATTCATTAACATTCGATTTATTAAATTTCTGTCAAACAACCAGACATTGTTCCAATTCAAACTGAAACAACCAGACATCCCCACCATGGTGTTCCACCAGACATTGTTCACACAAAATAATGACAACCAAAGAATCCAACAACACCTTTCTAAACTGTCAAACAACCTACTTCCAAAATTTCTTAAATTTCCCAAAACACTAGTGTACATTATATACATCCTATTTATAGAACTACATTCCAATTCAAACTGAAACACCCTAGTTTTAGCAAGAACAAAAAGAAACAATTCTACGAGTAAATAATATGTGGAAGCTTTGACTAAAACAAGAACTCTGTGTCAGAAACTTCGAGGACATTGTGGACGCCAATAGGGTTCACACCTGGCCGGAAAGCATTTCCTTCAATATACCTGTGACAACATTTAATCAATTAGTATTTCACCTAGTGTTGGGTAATTGCAATTTGCTTGTACTGATTGAAGACAGAAACTCACATTTCTTTCAAGAAAGTGTACTTATAGAATGCATCCGGGATTCTCCCAGTAAATTGATTATGATTCAGGTACCTGCAATGAAAGCAAGCTTAAGATGCTGTCCCATGCCTACCCAAAAAAAAGATGCTGTCCCAGATACACAAAAGCACAAAGATGCAAAAAAAGGGGAAAAGCAAATTAAAGAAGGGAAAAAAAAAAGGCATTAATCGTGATAAAAACAACAGTTAAAAGCCATGAATCAAAGCCATAAGGGATGAGGAAATCTTCTCAATATTGAAGATTGGGTCACAGATGTCAAGGAACGAAACAAAGTGTATCGATGAAATAGGAATCCTAACTCAACCTTGGTTCCACTAACAAACTTGTCCTGCAAATCCAAATAACTTTTCAATATTCAATTGTAATATTGACCACTAGCAAAATTGCCCGTGCCTAAAGGTACTTCATCAGTAGGGAAATAACACCAACCGTTAGATTTATTCAATCTTAACCCCAAACTATAGCACACAACATTTTTCAAAAACTGATGTGTTTTATTATATAGATTTGTCTTGCCCTTCTTGTCATGAAGACATGATATGTGACTATTTCAAACCATACAATCACATCAGCCAAATTGTGATCCAATGAATAGTATGCCCAGAAAGTGTAGCTAAAAAAGTCCAGACTTAAAATCCGAACTGCCAAATTTATGTGTATTGCTCTTAGAAAGAGGAAATTCCTCTAGATACATTGCAAAAATAGAACTTCTCATACATAACTGGATCACATTTGTAGAGTGGACAGAAAATTCAAAAATAAACTTACAAGGAAGTCAATCGGGGAATATGAGCAAGTCCAGATGGTATGATACCCAGACATTTTGTTGTATGATAAATGCCTGTTACAAACATAGTAGTCAATTTTTTAAGATGGTTTCAATTATAGCAAAAAGAAATCCAGAAAGAAGATAGATAACAGTCTTAATACAGTTAAAAAGAAAATGAAATGCTTACAAGATTTCCAAATTAGTCAAGTTTGCTAGCTGAGCTGGGATTCCACCCGTAAGGTAGTTATTATTCAGATAACTGCATATCAGAATTACAAAGGATCAAAAATGGTTTTTATAAGAACTACGACTCTGATAGCCTTAAACTGGAAAATATTTAGTATTTCAAAATTCGCTGAAGCATAGACTTACAGGTTGCGAAGAGATGGAAAGCATCCCTCAATACGTATTAGTTCCCTAATAGTTCCCACCAAATGATTGTTACCAGCATCCCTATGAAAACATGGTTATCACAGAGAGATTATCTGCAATGAGATACAAATAGTAAAGCATACAAACACTGTAGGGAATAGAACATGAAATTTACAAATGTCGGAGTTGTTGCAGAGTGCCCAATTCTGGTGGAATTCACCCAATAAAACGATTTTCATGTAGATAAAGGTAACGTAGCAGAGGAAGATTAGCTAATTCTTTGGGGATTTCTCCTTTGAAATATTGAAACTCAAGTATCTGCAGAAGATTCATTATAACACATTAATGGTATATAGAATAAATAATATGATAAAATTCCAACAAAACTAATACCCTCAAAGATGATGAAATTACTCACAGATGGGTTAGACTCTTTAGTTCACCTATTTCAGGAGGAATGACATCTTGCAACTTATTCCACCTCAAATTGCTGGAAAGAAATAAGAAAGAAAAATACTGTAAGTAAACAGAAAATTAGAAAACAAAAAAGATCAGAGCAAGTGGGCTAGAGTGCTCAAAATTGGAGAAAATGTTTTCCACATGAAGTGGTTGGAAAAAAAAATTTCAATACAGACAACTTGTTAGTGTATTTGAATACAGACAACTTGTTAGTTAATAATAGGGTTTAAATTATACATCAGCAATTTCAATCCTCAAAGAATGTATTAGCAATTTCAATCCTCAAAAAATGGAACAAATAGAATTATATTCCTAACCTAAGTTTGGAAGGACTACTATCTCCCACCTATCATTAACCTTTTCAGCAATCCTGATGAAATTGTTGAATTTGATTGGTATTTTGATTAAAATTATGAGAAGTAAAATGAATCAATAAATATTGAAATGAAAACCTTGGGAGGGCATCTGGTCTGGCTTTGGAGGCAGATTGAAGGTACAAATTAACATAGTCAAGAAAAGACTTTACTGGAATACGTTGCCCATTAAGCTCAACCTTCATAGTCTTTCCAATGCATCCCGCCAAGTCAATCACCCGTTTTTTCATCAGGGCAACAACATCATCTTCAAGATAAGTAATATTGAATTTCGCTAAGCCAGGCTTAAATGTAACTTTTGTCCAGTTTTCGCTCTCCTTGCATTTTGTTATGACGGGCTTAGATTTCTTTCCCATATTGTTGGAGAAAACCGTCATAGGAGTGGAAGGAACTTGCCAGTTAGCAAAGCACGTGAATCATAATAAGGCTTTGTAAGGAAAACTATATGTATAAACAAAAGAATATGCTACCAACTTTTTTTTTAAAAAAAGATTCAAATCAGAATTTACATATTAGCAGGCAAGCGAAACATGCATGGTATGACTTAAATTTGGAAGAACCAAATTGATACAAAGAACAAAATATAAGAATTACCAATATTTAATTTACATTACATCAATATATTTTTTTATTTATTTATCAATTGATAAGAAATTACAAATACAAAAAAGACAATTGTAGTCCAACACATTTATAAACCAAACACAAAACTCCATAATGAAAAGAAATAAAACTCAACAAAAAACCCTATAATAGGGGAGACATTATCCATCTTTGCCAAACATTCGAATCTTACAATTCGGCTTGGATAGTACTTAACCAAACATATTTCAGTACAACAGTAAAATTAACTCGAGCGTCCAAAGATCCGCTCGAGCGCCGGATGCACTCTCCCAGAATTTTCTGCAGACGACCAAAATGCTGAGAGGAGGAAATTCACGCTCGAGCGTCCCAACTGCCGCTCGAGCGGAAAGGCAACAACAAAACCCGCTCGAGCGTCAAATCGCCGCTCGAGCGTAGAGACCAAAACCTGGGCAAAAATTCTAAGTTTTAAAACACAACCCTGTAACAAACTCGCCCAACACAACCCATGACTCGAATGCAAGGAGTAAAGGATGTAAACAAGACATATACAATAACCAACTCCACGGAACCTAAGTCCGGGTACAACAGTTAAAGAAAAGGGGAAACCGGGATCGCTATAACCTCCCCCCCTTAAAGAATTTCGTCCCCGAAATTAAGGATACGCCAAAACACAAGGCCAATTAATCACAGAGCATTCAACAACCGAGTCCCCAAGGAAGGAAATCACTTTCACAACAAACCTCCGACTTACTCTTAGCAAGGAAGATACTAACCAAGGAAACACATTCTAAACGACCACACCTTAGGTATGCAAGCCTCAACAAAGCAAACCTCCCCCGAAACAATTCACCAACAACCGACTAGCACTCCAAGCTAAGTCACTACTCAACAACACGACCAAAGTAAATCTTTAGAGTAGATAATAAGAAAACATTTCCTTGTTCAAAAGGCATTTCCCAAAGATGTTTAAATTTTCAACGTTAACGTTCCGGAATAAATCTTGTATGTTCCATACGAAAACTCAAAAGCTTTGCAAACATTTTTCACAAATACGGTGTTACCCAAAACGCAGAGTCATCCACAGTTTATTTGCCCAAAAGATTAATCGGGAATTTTTTAAAATCCTTGAATTAAATCAACTTTTCAACAATGCATCAAGACGGTCCCAAACACTAGGAAAAGTTTGTTTTCCATTTCTTTCCAAAGTGACACTATCAACAACCATCACTCACATGGTGATGCCACAACCAACATGGGACACAACATTTCTATAATGATAGTTAATAGAAATAACAACAGTACTATCAACACATAAGGTATAAATACGGCTCAGGACCTGGCCAACAACCAAATGAGATCACATCTCATCCCCACAATACCCCCCTTTAACACACAAATGATACACATCTTAGTGCTGTATCAATATCAAACCAAACATCATACATACATAATGTATAAAAGCCAATCATTCACAATGATCAATCAATACATATATTAGATGTATTATGACTCGCAAGACCCAAAACACGAACCAACATACAGGTACCATTTCCACTAACTCGAGATACAAATCTCACATCCCCTCGAACATTCTCACGTAGTCTTGCCAACACTGCGCAATTCTCGCAACCATCACATCTAACCATCACATCAAATCTCCACATCTTGTCTGCCACCCATCCCGAGAGTACCCTCCAGAGACCCAGCCTCCGTGCTAAACCACTAGTCAAAACTACCGCTAGGCAACCATCATGAATCAAACCCCGACACCACTACAGGTCGCCGACAAGGCTTTCAAGGATTCACTCTTCTAACTATCCAGCAGAGTAAAGGTTCTCACTCTCCTTGCCATTAACCCACATCTCCATCCGCAAACACCATACCACTGTGACTCCATCCACGGATCACACCCCAACTACGGACTGTACACCCAATCAACCGAAGAAAACTCGCTCGAGCCAAGAAATGCAACTCTCAGGTCCAGAACCAGACGCAAACGCAAGCTCGAGCGCAAGACTTCTCG